TCTAAAAGATATTAAAACATTAATCAGTAGACAGTTATATGTCAAAGTCACCACAAAATGTTCTTGCCTTTTCCCTGTAGTGAGTGGCTGACAACTTCTTATAGCAAATACTCAAAGGGAAACATTTAGATTCTACAGGAATTTTCTATCAATGAAGGTTCCCAGGCAAGAGGAGAGAGGCCTGTGGAAGTCATGAGGGAGCTGGATTCCCTGGAACTGGACTTAGGGGTTGCTGTGAGCCACTGTGTGGATGCTGGGAATGAACCCAGCTCCTCTGAATGAGCAGTAAGCATTCCAAACCAGGGAGCCATCTCTTCAGTTCTAGGTGTTGGCTCCTTAAAATTATGTTACCTTTGTTTACTTACTTAAGTAGGCTCATGGAATGGGAAACTGGGCAACAATCTCTGTTTACATCACATAGTGTAACCTAAAGTTCAAAAAAGTGGTTTCATGAGAACTTGCAGGGATATAACCAATGTGTAAATGGGCAGTTGTATGGCAATCTTATGTATATACATTTTGTGCTGGCTAGTTTTATGCCATCTTGACAGAAGTTAGAGTCATCTGAGAGGAGGGAGCCTCAGTTGAGAAAAATGTCTCTATCAGACTGGGCTATAAGCAAGTCTGAGGAGCATTTTCTTAATTAGTGATTGATGGGGGAAGGCCCAGCCCCTTGTGGGTGGTGCCATTCCTGGGCTGGTTGTCTTGAGTTATACAAGAAGCAGGCTGAGCAAGTCACGGGGAGAAAGCCAGTAAGCTGTGACTCTTTGACAGTCACTGCATCAGCTCCTGCCCCAGGTTCATGCGCAGTCTGAGTTCCTGTCCTGACTTCCTCTGGTGATGAACAGTGATGTGGAAGTGAAAGCCAAATAAACCCTTTCCTCTCCAACTTGCTTTTGGTCATGGTGTTTCATCACATTTGTATACCAATAACATGCACCTTCTTAGGGAAAACAGAATAGTAATTCCAAAGTATGAAAACTCTTGGACCTCTAGACAAAATAATAAAGGACATAAAGTTGAAGGGGGAGCAACTGGATAGGCTGCCAGTCAGGGAAGATCTTCCTAGAAAAGAAGATCCCCATGGGGTACAAAGCTCAGCATGTCCTTTGTTTAAGTCGTCTTTGAATTCCCACACATGAAGATACTAAAGAACTGTACACTCTCACTCCCTGTGTGTCTTTCAATCTGCAAAACACACAATACTGAATCGGTACCATATTTCTTTGACAGCATCTTAAAAAGGAAAACAGGCCACGAACACGCCCTTCTCAAAACTGACTAATGAAGGTAATGGATGTGATGAACTAGGTTTCATGGAGATTATAGGTTGTGCAGTTCAGAATAGGGATCATTTGTACTTTCCTGGTCCCCAGAAGAATGCAAAGTGCCAATTACGGCATGATGGGGGATTAGCTTTAGCTCTTTCCTCATTTTCATTTCTAAGAGTTCACTCTGTGTGTCTAAAAACATTACTGGAATAAAACATTCTCTCCTGTTCTTTTTATTTGATGCTTACCTCATAATTCCCTTCTCACGGAACAGTTCTCCACCACCAGCCTTAAAGTTCAGTTCGTACATGCTTTCCCCCAAATGGTACACTTAGTGATTCTCACTAAAGTCGTTATATTTTTAGTTGTAGTGGGGCAAAATCCCAATATGACCCCCAACACCTCCACTCTATCTTGTACATACACCTTCTCCAGGAGAAAGAATATGAATCAAATGCCTATCTAGAAGCTGTGAGGAGATTTTACAGATGTAATGATGTCCCTAGAAAACTGATTTGAAAGAATGGGATATTATCTTTGGAGGTCCACTGACATCTTAAGAAAAGATTAAGCTTTGTTTTGACCTCAGTTCAGCCTCAGGAAATTGAACTGTCTGATACACTAGTGAACTTGGAAATGGGTCAAAACCCATAGACTATGAAAGCAGCCCCAACCAGAATCTCGACCTCAGTCATAAGAGACCATAAACAATGGGTTGTCCAGGGCCAAATGGTAGCCCTGAAATATACACTTGACATTATACAAACTGAACTTCTTCTGTTTAGGAATATATTATAAATCTATACATATATGCATGTAATAATAATTAGTGAAAAAGGAGAGACCAGGAATTTATTTATTTATTTTTTATTTATTATTATTATTATTATTATTATTATTATTATTATTATTATTTTGGTTTTTCGAGACAGGGTTTCTCTGTGGCTTTTTGGAGGCT